ATGTTTTAAATATGTTATGTAATTTATTCATATATATTTTGTTGTTATATATTTATATTGTTGCCATATATTTATTATATATTTATATTTACGGTATTATTACCAGTATTAACAATAATAATTTTTAACATGTATAACAACTAATGAAAAATGCATATTTATTACACAAGACCTGATCATAAGTAACTATCACAAGTCCAGCTGCAGGCAGATTCAAGAGTCCCCACTTGCTAGACATTTTAGGGATCCAGTCAAACCGCCCCCTTTGTCAAGTCGTCCCCTAACCAAGTCGCCCCCGAACCAAGTCGCCCTTAACCAAGTCGTCCCTTAACCATGTCGCCCCCTTGACTAATATTGAATATTATTATTAACTAATAACTTATTAACTTTTTATATAATCTGTATATTTCTATAGTCTGTATATATTATTAACTGAACTGAGTAGGGCGTCCGTAGGCCTAAGCCTAACTATGATTAGATATATACGGTAGGTCGTTTAGCCAGATATGTTTACCTGCCTAGTCTAAGCGGCCCTAAAGTTTCATTAGCAATAGTCCTACCTAGCTACAATATGTTTTTTTTAAACTTATATTTATAAACATGGCTGCTGAAATGATCGTAGTAGAACCAATAACTCCCTCGTACGTAGAACTAGCACTAGCTACGTAACCTTAAGTACTAGGCTAGGCCTAGTCTTATCTCATGAATATGCTCTCCTCTCCGTGGAATGCCAATTTTTGAAGTGCTGAATATTCTGAGATTCTGTGTAAATCACATTTTGGCCTAAAGTATTAGTTTATAATTAAGCCAGACTGCTACTAGTTCGTTATGTATGGTAAACAGGCTTAGGCGTAGTTCTAGCAAGGGCCTGTCGACTAAGTACGAGAAAAATTGTCGCTCCACCGGCAGCCAATGATAAATCAGCATACTAGGTCTAGCTATAAAACGGAAACTCACAGAAAAAGACTTGAAATGAAACGTCAACACAAATTTTCATTTAGTAATAATACTATTTAATAGTAATACATGGAAATCAGTAGCTCACCTAGGCCTAAAATTGTCAAATATAGTGAAATCAAACATTGTCTGCCTACAAAGAACTTACTTTGTTTGTCATCGCACATAAAAAAAAAACAATACATAATTTGAAAATAGCAAAACTAGGGAAAATTGGGGTCTACTGTACTGGAGTGTTTCTTCTAAATTTGTCTAAATTATATTAAATTAGCCATTAAAATTAGCATGTCTGAAAATAGCTATTTGTATAACAATACAGTAACATATCACAAATTTTACTTTGCAGCTTGGCTTTTAAAACAGCATACGATGATAACTAAATTTTTAGGTTATTAAATTGTCAAACTGGTGATGCTTTTTTTGTTCTTCTAGAAAGTAAGCGTAACCTTTGATAGTTCAAGAATGCTCTCTACAATGTTTGTAAACATAGTAAGAGATAGTCGGGTAGGAACGGGGGGTTCCCATGCACCTCCAGGATATATTTTTTTAACTAACATTTTTATAATCCTCAAAGTGTCTCATGAAAGAATTTTGATGTTCCCATCGAATAAAAAAATGTCCCAATGGGTTTTTTGGTGGCCATCTTGGATTTTTAACGAAAATCATTAATTTTTATAATTCATTGACTAAAAATCATATAAAATCAAATGAACCTTTAAGTGTATATAGCAAACAGTGTTTATGTTCTTAATATAAAAAAGAAATGACTTCGCAATACAATTGGCGGCCATTTTGGTGGCCATATTGAATTTTAAATGAAAATCATTAATTTTTATAGTTTAATAACTAAAAATCATTTTAAATCATGTGAACCTTTAAATTTACATTGTAAGCAGTGTTTATGTTCCCAATACAAAACACTGACTTTTCAAAACATTTGGCGGCCATATCAGTAGTTATTTTGGTGGCCATCTTGAATCATTAATTTGTATAATTTATTAGCTAAAAATCACATAAAATCAAGTGAACCTCTAAAGGTATATAGTAAGTAGTGTTTAAGTTCTCAATACAAAACCTTGACGTCTCAATACATTTGGCAGCCATTTTGGTGGCCATCTTGGATTTTCAAAAAAATCATTAATTTAAACTAAAATCACAAAAATTCAAATGTATACAGTAAGCAGTGTTTTATATTCTAAATACAAAACATTGACTTAGCAATACAGGTTGGCGGCCACTTTGAATGTTCAATGAAAAATTTATTGTATAACATTTAACCTATATATCATACAAAAAATAAGACGTAACCATTTTTTTTAGAGTAATGTTGTCATTAGGAATTGATTGAGAGTGCAGTGCACTACCTTTTCCCCAACTAACTTTGAACTACAAATTTGAACGGTCTGGGCCGTAACAACTCTAGGTTTCTGAGCTGGTAGAACTAGTCAACCAGTCAAACTCTGGGGTTTTTCGACCACCCTTGGGGTTTCAGAGAATGTGGAGATTTGCATTGGCAAAGGCTCAGGTTGTGTTACCTTCCCTTACACTCAGATGGTTTGCATGACAATAGCGCACAAACACGCACCAAATAGGTGAGAGGACCCAACCTCTTAATTACACATCCATTTACATGCTTAATTAACCCACCTCTATTGATTTTTACTCCAACATATTCACCCACGTCAAATTTTCTCTTTTCCACCATCAACATCAAAATATTTAAAATATATTTAAATATTTATTTTATA